TTAATGTTTATTCAGTATAAAAGTGGAGAAGATGGAGTTGGTATTTATGAATAGCTGAATTTGGTTGACATTCTGAATGTTTTTCTCTTGTTCAGTGCATTTTGTTTTAATATTTTACAGTTTTGCTGCAGTCTGCATTTGCTGCGAGACTTACCGCTGTTACGTACTGAGGAGAGAATTACACATTAAAAGTAATGATACATTATAGAAAATGTGCAAAAGTTAATGACAAGGTGGAGTTTGCTTAATGCTGTCTTTACAGTTACAGGTGTGATAGATAGGGAAGTTGGATATGTATCTATCTCTCTTCTCCTTACACATGCTACAGATGTAGAACTTGAAAGAATCCAAAAGAACTCTTAGCTACAGAATAAAAATAGATTTGTGCATTTCCTACTTTTCCTTCCTGTTTTTTTCATGTAAAAAGATGACTGATGAAGGTAACTCTCTGTAGAGCTCTGTAACTAAATACTGGATGTTTGTTTTGTTTAATGTTGTTTATGTTTAATTAGATGCACTCCGTCTCAGCAGGGCAGGCTGAGCATGCTACCTGATATACTGTATTTATATGTACTTTTTCCCTGCCCTTACCCTTGTTAATTTCTGCTTTAGATTTTAATTATTATTATTATTTTTTAAAACAAGTAGAATTTGCTTTTTTTTTTTTTTTTTTTTTTCCTTCCTCTTTTACCATTATGTTCTCTGGGACTGGTTGGTTTCACCCTCCTACTCATTTGAAAAACTGGTATCTAACCTTGCTTTTGTGATCCTCTATGTTAACCTCACTATGTTCTTCCTATGTAGATACTCCTTGTTCTGGAAGTGGCACCAGTTTCCAAAGATCTCCTTATTTGTTCATCTGTGATGATTTAAAATTTTGAATGTGTGATTTATGCTTGATCGGATGGTCATGCTGTTTGTCAGATCTGCCTGGTCTTGTTGTGATTGTTTTTTATGTGACCAGTAGCCCTGTACAGTTGTGCCAGGGATTTAATTTTGAACATTTTTTTTTCTCAATCTGATTTCAAATATGCTTTATAGTTCATGATGCAGGATACGAGTATCCTTGACTCCATTATGTTTGCACAGAGCTCCAGGCTTTCTACTGCTGTCAATAGAAGAACATCCTGTAAGATACTCTTCTAGAATTTTGGTAATTCAGATTTTTATGCTGAACTGTTGTCGTGAGCCTTCTGGATTTTGTAATACACTCCTGTGTAATCTACTGCTGAATAGCAGAACCAGGGGAAAATGTAGATTGTGCTGAAGCATTTGTGGCGAAGACCTGTTGTTTGGAAATAACTGCCATGCACTTGATAAAAGACAGACTTTGCAGTTACTTGAAATAGACTGCTCTTAATAATATCTGAAGGAAATTAATAGATGTTGATTTCTTGCAGAGTCTTTCTGTTTTTGTATTCCCACGTTCTGTTCTCCATCTACATTTATGGCAATAAGTAAAACACCTCAAGCCTTAGTCATAGTAAAAGATAGGAGTTACAGTGTGTATTCTATCAGAGTTGAATAATTAAAAATGTAGAAATGAAATCAGTGACATTACTACAAGGGCCATGAAACTTTGTGTCTTCCAAGAGCCTGCTTTTATATAATATATACTTTGGCCAAATTATTATATCTGTTTATGGTGTGTATAATTATTTGTGTAATACTCATTGCAAAACAGATTCTCTAGGCTTGGAAGAATATTTGTTATCCATTTATAGACAGGTTAAGGTTTCTCCCTTTGCAGGAGAAAAAAATGGTGTCTTCAGTGGTACTTATCTGAAGATATGTTATTTAGAAGAAGCTTTAATAGCAGATGGACTGCTCTGTAAATTGCACCATTGGAAACACAATGTAAGGATTAAAAAAAATAAATCTTTTGGTACTGATGAGATTTGTCAGTGCCTGGTGTGTAGTTGTGGCTGTTTCCAGAATCTGCTCTAGAGAGCAGGCTGTGATACAGGTGAGTAGGAGCTCTTCCTCACGCTTTTTCCTCCAGTTTGACGAAGATGCACTCACACTTTATTCATCACAAATGACACAAATGACATTCATTACAAATAGACTGTAGTTTTCTCTTTTTGCTCATTCATTTGTTCAAAACTCATAAATCCAAAATTCATTCCCTACCTTTTGTTTGATTGATGGATTTGTCTTGGATATTCTGTGTGAAGTTTTCTGCTCTTTAAAGAAAAAATGTTGCTTAGTGCTTGTCTTTGAAGGCCGCTGTTACGTTGTTTGTTCCTCCTCCCAGTCTGAAAATCTGCTTCACAATCTCTAAGACTACCAAATATTTTTCTTCTGTCTTCAGTAATGTTTTGTCTTTTGTGTTTCAGTGAATTAGAGAGTTAAAGTGAACGAAGTTATGATTCTGGTGTGGCTGTTCTCTTCTCACACTGAAATGTGTTTTTCAGGCTTTCAACTTTCATACTAATGTCAATTTGCATATTAGAAAGCGTTTAGTACAGCTTACAGGGATTTGTTTGATTCTGCTGTTTAGTGATATTTGTATGAAGACACGATTGGACTAAGGAGACTATGAGACATGTATTCTATTTGAATCAATTGATTTAGTTGTGAATATATTCCAGTGTTAGTATAGTATAGTGCTTTAGAGCTGCTATTCTTTTATAGCAAATTTGCATTTTACAAAAAAAAGATTATTAAGATTTATTGTGAAAGTTATAAAAAATGATGTGTCAGGTTTACTTGAATGCATTATTTTTAGCTATTCTGTGTTTGGAGACCAAATAATGTTTGTAAGTAAGATAAAAACTTCAAATTAAAATGAAGAAAAGCAGTTCTTATGCTGGAAAGAACTCTGAGTCATTGCAAGATGTTTGATTAGTATTCATGACACAAAAGGAAGTTATTCTCAGGGTAAAGGAATTTGTGAAAAGATAATTGGTTAGACCAACATTCTCATTAACCTAATTTGCATTAAATGTGCTACTGTGAATTGTAGTTATTGCTTTTCCATTTGAAAGGCATGCTTTGTTAATCTATTTAAGTGCCTAGTTAAACTACCGTTTAAGTCATACCCTTTAATTCAGCAGTACAGTGTCTGTGGATCTATTATTCCCGACTTTCTATGTGTGGAGAATCACAAGTCAGATCTGAATCCTGGCTAATTTTCCTGGTGAAGTGGGTTTGTTTAGCTGCTTTACATCGGGTCATTCTCAGCTATCTAGAGCATCCGACTTATCCTTTAGTTTAATTTTACTTCTTTGTCTTGAAGAAAATACATGACTTTTTTCCCAATAGCATGAGGGCTCTGAGAATCATTTGGTTTAACCGTTTTTCAATACGTACTTCTTTGTGTGTGTAACTAAACTGAACCTTTTAAAAATGAGCACTGAAATTAATTGGCACTCTTTGGTATCTACTGTAAAATAAGGCATTAAGAGTGAATCTGGATTTCTTTAAGTTTTAGCTTTAGCTATTAGCAATGTTGTCAATGCTCTGACAGGGATGTACTCACAGTTGTGTTATTAGCAATGAAAAGGCAGGCACCTTTGTCAGCAGCAGTCAACTGTGAGTTTTCAAGTTAAACATTCACATCTACAGTTAGGCACACAAAGTACCATATTTCTCCAGGTAATCTGTTATTCTCAGGATCAAATCTAACCTCCTGCACACCGCAATTTAACAGCTGTCTACTCTATCTGTACAAAGACGCACAAACAGCTGTTTGTTGTCAAACTGCGTGGTCTGGGAAGACACACATCCCATGCTCTGCATCAGCAGCATACATGCTGGGTGTTATTCTAGATTGCTGGTCATTATTTCATTTTGAGGTTCTCTTGTTCCTTATAATTTTTATGGCATATTTCTTTATGGCAAGTTGATCAAAAGAAGTCAAAAGGTGTTCCCCACGCCTTCCTTTTTGTTTATTTAATTTGCAGTAACCTGTTCTTTAAATGCTGCTGAATCTAAAATGATTCATTTTCAATTTTTAAAACAGACTAACAGGATGGTTTCAAAAGAAGCACTTGAAAGTGTAAATTGCTGGCTGTAAAGACTGAATATTAGTTTTCAGTGTGTGTATTTATTTATATGTATATGTAGAAATATTGTCAGTTACTAACAAGTGATAACTTATTCCAGAATTATGATTTTGCTCATATGCAGGGAATAACTAATGTTATAAAATAGCTCTACTGCTGTTTCAATTGAATGGTACAACACATAAGAGCCATAAGAAGTTTTCATAGTCGTTTCAGTTTTACATGATTATGTATTTGTTGTAGGTTGGATCTGATTCTGCCTGCCTCTGCAACCCCCGTCTTTCATGTTTCATCTCTGATAGACTTTACTAATATTTTTTCCTGGAATTCTGGTGTTTTTACAATAAATAAGCTGATAAGACTGTCTGTTGCAATCCAGTGTGGTACTGCAGTAGAATCTAAACCAACACCCTATGCTTACATGTAGAAAAAGAAGGTTCCTACTATCTTGGAGCAACATGGCAGGAGGTTAGAAGATCCCATAGCTAAGGTTACATATGTTTAATTAGCCTGATTTAATGGTGTGGGTTTTCTTGTTTATTTGTGTTTTTTATTCAATCCTGTATATACATGAAGCAAGGTTTTGGCTACACTGGTTTCAGTGCTATTTTTTTATGGCGTGCCAGAGTAAGGGAAGAGAAAATCTGAAGCATTAACTACCAAACAACAGAAAGCATTTACTTATTTACTTGGCCAGTACAAACTGATATCTGGAACCTTGTAATTCATTTTAGAAGAGATGTATTGAAAAAATGTTTCTACAGCACATTTAAGGCTTTTCATAAAGAGTACTCTCAAAATATTGTACATAAATTCCATTCAGTTGGGCTTAGAGAAGTTTACTATTTTGAATGCAAGCAGCGTTCAAGTGCAAATATGCTGAAAATTTGAGGTTTATTGATTGATTAAATATATTTCTGTAGGATTTGGAGCTTACAGGGAGTGTGCTACTAAAAAAAATTAAAATTTTTTTAAATTTCTTTTCTGTAGGAGATTCCTTTGCACAATTTCGATTTGCTGAAGAGAAAGACTGGGATACAGAAAACGTATACTGTAAGCAGGTAACTGAATTTTCTGTGCAGATAATTGCCTGGCACATGCAATGTATGTAGCTCTGTATGCAGTTCTGCTTACAGCAGAACAATAGCACTGTGTAATTTGTAGATACATTTATTAATTTGTTTCTGATGCTGGAGGCTCTTGAGTCTTGTCCTTTTCTTTCCTACTGAAGAACGTTCAAGACAACAGGCTAGGTTTTTAAGGAGCATTGAAAGAAAAGAACACAAACCTGTCAAGAGAAGGGCAAGTAAGGGGTATAAATCACTTTGTTCTGCTGACATATGAGGTCAGCTTTCCATTTTCAAACATGTTCGGAACAGCTTAGCAGAAAGGCTGTAATGGGACCTATAGATATATATTCACATATTTGACTACAAAATGTGTTTTCACATTTAATTCAAATTACCAGTGTATATCCTCTATTAGAAACTTCAGTTTCAAAATGACTGTGGAATTCAACAAGGTTTGAAATTTTTTGCTTGTGGATCTCTGTGCTTATATAAATAAGTGCAAAGAAACTGTAGTGTCCTTTTTTTTATACTGGGATACTAGAAAATGTATTGATCTTTAAACTGCCTTTCTCCCACAGTCCACCTAAGTTATTGCAAGATCACAGAACTGTAGAATTGCTTGGGTAGGAAGAGACCTTAAAGATCATCTATTTCCAACCCCTGCCTCGGGCAGGGCTGCCACCCATCATGGTGCTCAGGGCCCCATCCAACCTGGTCTTGAACACCTCCATGGGGTGGGGCAACTACAGCCTCTCTGTACAGCCTGTTCCAATGCCTCACCATTCTTTGAGTAAAGAATTCTTAGTTACTTTCTAAGACAGCACCTAACATAAATCTCCCTTCTTTTAGTTTAAAGCCATTCCCCTTTGTCATGTCACTGTCTGCCCATGTAAAAAGTTAGCCCCCTTCCTGCTTTTAAGCTCTCCTCAAGAACTAGAAAGCTGCAATGAAGCCTCCCTGCAGCTTTCTCTTCTCCGAGCTAAACAAACCCAGCTTTCTCAGTCTTTCTTCGTACGAGAGGTGCTCCAGCCCTTCAACCGTCTTTGTGGCTCTTCTCTGGACCCATTCCAACTGCTCTATGTCCTTCTTGTGCTAGGGGCCCCAAAACTCCAAATGAGGCCTCACAAGGGCAGAGCAGAGGGCGAGTTACCTCCTTCTCCCTGCTGCTCACCCATCTATCGGCGCAGCCCACGATACTGTTAGCATTCCAAGCTGCAAGCACACACTGCTAGCTTTTGTCTTTGAAGCTTTTCTTAAAATTGCTGAAGAGCTGTGCTTGAGTCTCACTTGAAACATTTGTATGTATTTGAATTTTGAACATTTGCTGCTTATTTCCTAAAATATTGGGAATAATTATTCCTAGGGCAGTGATATTTAAAGTTATATTGAAATTGCAATGTTACAAATTAAGATGAGGAAATACAACCAAGTGGCTTGCACAGCAATTTTTTAATCGATCTTGTGGTTTTTTTTCAGTGGGAGATGGTCTTTCAATGATTTTATACTCTCATCAGTTTCTTCCTTTCCCAGTATGTAGGATGCCAGTAGTACAGCACATGACTTTTGCTTCCTTTTCTCTGTGCATTTCCAGAATATTAATTTCTCCATGATTTCCTCCTAGACTTGTCATTAAAGCATTTAACTGATCTGAACCTATTAGCTCATTTATATGCTGAGGCCATGGTGAGCAGAGTGAAGATTTGCACTGCCAGTCAGTTTAAAAGGTGCTCTGTCTACCAATGCAGAGACTGTGCATTTGGGATTTGGTCCAGTACTGAGTTATGAATTGTGTTGTGGTGGGCACGTTCTTTTGCCTCTGCTTCATTCAAATTGTGTGCTTCAAGTAGATCATGTCTTTGACTTCTTCTTCTAGTCCTGGCCCAGGTGGTTTCTTAGCATGAGCTAATTCTTCGTGTTCTTTCTGCTCTTCAGCCTTTAAGTTTCTTGCCTCTCTTTTTTTTTTTTTTTTTTCCCTGAAAACTGGATTTGATCCTTATTTTCTTCCTACATCTACTGCTCCAAGTTCCTTGCCTTTTCCTCTTTTAGATCTGCTTCTAGTTCTTTGCCTGTTTGCATGCATAGAAGAAGTTATTATAGAATCATAAACTAAACTTTAATGTGAGGGAACAAAACAAAGTGGAAGAGGCGTACAAATGATTGCAGAATGAGTAGATATTTCCCAGTCCTTGTTATATGTAGAAAGGAATGGCAAAGCAACAGTTTGGAAAAATGTGGAATTGAATTGTATCAGTGACATTGACACTTTGTTACTCACTTTTACAAAAAGCAAACCTGAATTTGCTTTGTTGTAGGTTGATAAACCACAATAGGAACGTTTCAGAACGCTGCAATTTAAAAATCAAACAAGTAGTGATTATCTGTTTGGTTGTTTTTTTTTGTTTTTTTTTTTTGTTTTTCCAGTAAAACTGGTAATTCCAGCAACAAAGTATTCCTCTGCTCATTTTCTTGCACAAATAGCTGCATATGCCATGAAGTGTTTATAATTCTTTAAATCCTGCTTTCATCCATTTGTTTTGGTTTCTTTCTTTTTTATTTAAGCACCGCTTATAGTGAAATACCTACTTGGATGTTGAATTCCTATTTACATTATATTATTTCTCAGCTCTTTTCCTTCATCATCAGCCTTTCCTCCTATTCCGTCTCTCTATTTCACCTTCATGAGAAATATTTTATTGTCCTTAGTATTTTTGCAAGTGTACATAGCTCATAGCTCTTCCCCTATGCACTTAAATGTTATTCAATGATATTTGGCATTTTACAATTTTTTGTTGTTGGATTCATATCATTTCCCTGCTCTTTGCAAGTGTACAGAAGCCATAGTCTCTTATGACATTGTCAGCTTGTGGAACCATTTCCTACTTTCTGGATTTCCAAGGCATTCATCCTGTTTTTAACTGAGTAATGATTTGCTTTGTAGGTGTTTAGCCAGATTTAGCCAAAATGCTTTGTACATGTGTGCTTCTAGATCTAAGAATTCCTGCTATTATTGTCAATGTCTTTTAGATACTGTATATTTGTAAATTGGTCTTCGCATTCTTACAGTTTGTGGAACAAAGGAATGTAATATGCTAATATTATGTAACTACAATACATATTACATATTACATTACATTACATATTAAAAATATGTAATATGCAAAGGAATGTAAAAGGCATAAACGGTTTCAACTTCTCTTGTAATGCAAGTGTGCTGTGTGTTGATTTACATTTCAGTTATCTGCACTTTCTGTTGACTGCCAGTCCTTGGCCCAGGCCCTGCAGGAGTTGCCTCTACATCTGAGGTTGAATGTAGCTGCTGAACTTGTACAGGTAACTCTGAATATTCACAATAAAGTGTAAATATTTTAACTGATATGATTGACTTTAAACCTAGTTTTCAAATGTAACATGAATGCATTTTATAAGTAAATATATTTTTGAGACTGTCACGTGAAGTAGGAGACCCCTGTATCAGCCCTTTTTATGCTCTATTGATGGCTTTAAGCAGAATACTTTGTGTGCATTGCATTGGACTTCAAGCCAGGTATATATGAGTGACATGGAATTATTCTAATCTTTTTTGTATTTGCTTGTCTTTTTAGCAGCTATTAAAAACTTGCAACAGAATTTTGAAAGTGCTTCCACATTCTTTCCATTAGATAATTATTTTGTTTGATTTACTCTTCTAATGAATATAAACATATATGCTTGTTCTATGAATTAGACTTACTGTGCACGTAAACAGCCACAACTGTCAGTCAAACAAGTGAAGAAAACATGTTCTGGTTAAAGAAAGGTAAGGAAAGAAGTGTTTCTTCAGGCTGTGAAAACAGACAATATTAATGTAAGAGGAAAAGAACTGATAAGAAGTTAAAAAGCAAAAGCAGAAAAAAGATCCATCTGCTCAAGCAGAGGAAAATGAAGATTTTTAATATTCTGTCTAATAATTAGAGACTCTGAAGTCCTCTCTTGTATTCTTAGGCATCTACACCCATAGAGCTACCACAGATGAAATCTAAAGTTGTTGAAGACAGCAAAAGGAGGGAGCTGTTTCGGCAGTCTTTGTCTCAGAGGGAAACGGTGTTGGTCTCCCAATCTGTTGGTGATTCTGCTGCTTCATCAGAGCCTGGAACTAAAAGTGATCCTGGGACAAGTGCAGCAGAACCATTTCAGAGAGCCCGTCTGCTAGAAAAGCAAGAGACTGACCATTTGGATGAAGAACTGGATCGTCTCCTAAATCTGGATGCTCCCATTGATTCTGTGTCAGATGCATTATCCTACAACATATCAACAGAGAAAGATCTGAAAATGGAAAGTAAAGAAAATGGTAAGATTTTGCTTTCTCCCAGTGCCTTTATTTTTTTTTTCTCAGTGTTGTTTTTAAACTCCTAACTTGCAAGTAAACAGTTCTGCTATCAGTATCTCTGTCATAGGGCACTTCATTTATCTGGGGCTGTGCTCTGACCCTCTCACCTGAAGTTTCACCACTGTCATGATGTTCATTTTAAGCATTAATTTTGTAGAACAGCAGTGGTCTTACGAATCAGCCAAATTTGATTTTTATTTTGTTTTTAAGTACTGTTACAGAATTTTAGTTAGTGGAAGACTAAAATAGTTTTTATGTAATGTTATCGGCCCTTAGTTCTCTCTGATAATCTAATGAAGACCTGATAGCTATTTCTGATTACACTACAAATGTTATTTTCAAACTTTACTAGCAGTGATAATACAAAATGAGCTTTTTAATAGACACAATACAAACACAAATTTTCCTATAGCAGAAGTTTAGTGGGCCACTGGAATCTTTACTACTGTTAGCTCTGAAGGAGAGCAGTTGTACGTCTCCTTATTCTACAATGATGTTAAAGAACTTTAGCATCTCTGATTTTTATGTATGATTGTTTTGTTTTGATAAAAATTAAGTCCAAACAGAGAGATAGCTGATGACATAAATATCACCATGTGCAATGCAGTAAGCCTTGTCTCTGAGGAGAATCTTTCATTCTGCTGGTATATCCAAAGCACAGTGTAAATCCCTTAAGAAAACAGTGCCATCAGAATGTGGAATTACAGTCATCGTGCTAATTGCATTGTGATCCGCTGTTGCGGTCTCCTGCTGCTCTCCTATATTAAAGAAAATTCTGTTTATGTCAGGATTGTGAATAGATTGCAATAGGGGTTTGCTTACTTAGAAGCAGGTCCTGCCTCCCCTTGAATCTGGTGGAAGCTGCATTTCTATGGTTGAGCTTATCAAACTGCGTTTTTAATTGTTGCTACTGTTTTTGAAATGTTACTCTTTGAGAGATTGTATTTCAATAAAATACAATCAGTCATGCATTAAAAAAGCAAACCGATGAAGGAAAAAGACAGTACAGAATTTTTTCCATGTTTTCAAAAGCCTGTTCCTTTTGCTTTTCTAGACCCTCCAAGAGCAGATGTGCCAGAACAGAGAAGTACAGCACCACAGCAAGAGCAGAAAACATCCAAAATTGTTACTGAGGAAGAGCTTGAAGATTGGCTGGACAGCATGATTTCCTGAAACCAATTTTCTGTATGTGAATAAGTGAATATAACTAAAATCAAGTAGAAAGTGGAACCCTCCTTTAGCTGTTCTTTATTTCATTTATTTGTTTCACTTGCCTGCAAATAAAACCAGGCACCTGAAATTTGTGCCACCAAAATTTGATTAGGAATGATTGATTAAGTAATGTCTAAGACTGTGTAACAGTCTTAGAGAGGCCTAACATTTATGATTAAGTTGGGATTTTTTTTTTTTTTGCTTAAAATGTAGGCTGCAGCAAACTGCCAGAGTTGTCGTTCCAGCTTGTACTTGCTACATGCAGTCCTTAAAATAAAGCAATGAATGCACAACAAATACATGTTTTTAATCAGCTTCAGCACGCCACATTTCTGTATTGCAAAAAAATTAGAAAGAAATCACAAAGGTAATATTTGGTTTATAATATTTTATTGCAGTGGGCACTTTCTACGAGAAGAAAAATAAATGCATAAACCTTGCAGCTTCTATTTGCAGGTGACAGTAGAGCATTGTTTTATTTTGGCCTGTGATTTAAACTGTATTCATTTTGATACAGGGTGTGTCTTGTAACAGCAGCATCTAATAAGCTGTTATTGAAGGTTGTATACAAACTTTGAGTGCAATTTCATACAGAAGGACAGAGAAGCAATACAGTCAATGGATCTGTTCACCTAGAACACTAACAAAAAGTTTGCATAGCTATGTCTACGGAGGTTTTAAGGCACTTAATGATTCAAGGTCAACAAAGTGTTTGAAAATGTTTCCTTTTATCTGCTTAAAGCTTTTCAAGCTGTGTCTTAATATACTGACTAGCAAATATTGTGGGGCAAAAATGGGACAGCACTTGAAGTACTTTTTCTGAGGCATGGCCTCTGATGTTCAAGTTCTTAAACATCAAATGTTGTACAGGTAAGACATCTTTTAGCCCTTTCACTCTTACCGAACACTAGGTTAAATGGTGTAGTTAAAAAGTTATAATATCAGAGCATGTTTAAATTGGAAGGTTCGATTTGATATTGGCATAGATTTTTCTTTTCAAATTACAATTCCAGCAGAAGACCAGTTTTGTACGTGGAACGTATAAAAAGCCTATGAAATTGTTTCAAATTTTATGTATGTCTTTAAGTTTAAAGACATTTAAAGCAAATACAGGCTGAGAATTTACATCATGAAAAGGAAAGAAGTTTATATACTGGATCTTTTGTTATATTAGCCAAGTTGATCCTCGTACTGTTTCCGGAAGCAGTCTCCTGCTGGAAAGAAATCCCAGCATCTTTCTTGGTACATCTTCCAAACGAATGACTCCTGAAAATGATAAAGAACACTTATTTTAAGATTTATATTTAGCATTTATTTTTAACATTTATTTTAACTCCTTACAGCCAGTGCTCTAAATTGTAACAGTAAGCAGTTACTGTGCTTAATTTAAAAAAGTCAAAAAAGTGCAGGTAAGTGAAAACTAATCAGTCCAATTCTATCAGAGTAAACCTCTATAATCTGCATTGCAAAATGTGTTTTAGTTTCCTTGGAAAACACTGAATTATAAGGTACTTTCACAGTATTGGTGCAACATCTTATTTTAAATAAGGAAAATAAAGAAGATTTAATTATATATTATTTCCATTTAGGACCTAATAACACTGAACTTATGAACATATGTTCATATACTGTCCGTATATACATATAAATATATATATAAATATATATATGGGTATAGACTATAAATACAGTAATGTAACTACTGAAGGCTGTCTTCTCCAGGCACAGTACAGTAGTGCTGGATAGTGCACCTGTCCTTTTTTCTTGCTCAAAAATCTCAGGAGTGGATATTTGTCTCCACTGGTGGTACATCAGTTCCACCTGGTGGTACGTCAAGCTACAAGGCTGGAGAAGGAAGATGCAGCTTTTCAAGACAAATATTTAGCTTTTTTTTTTTTTTTTTCGACTCACCTGGCCAGTATGCTCAGTCTCATCCTTGTTTATGAGGTACATTAAGAAGAACCTGAAACAAGTGCATGGAACAGGTATTAATGCAGGATGTATAATCTCTCCCCTAACCTTTCCTAGAGTGGGATTTGATGTTTATGGTGGCAACCAGCAAAGAAATGACGTTCCTAGGCTTCTAGGATGTTTTAAAGAAGAAAATGCAATCCTTGGAGACTTCTGTGAAATTGCTAACAGCTGTAGGATCTGTAGAAGTGGAAAAATGTATTTCAGCAGTTTTTTCATTTCAGTGCTGATCAGTAGTAACACTTGACTTGGGCCTACATATATAGCTCTTTTATGCTCAAATTCTGTCATGTTGGAAGAAGTTCTTACAGAATTTATGCAAGAAGTATGATAGGTTATAAACTTGTAGATGGTAGATGGCTTGGAAATCTTGGTGCAACCAAGTAGAACCTATCTTATCTTAGGTACCACTTGTGTCAAATGTACAAAATTGAAGTAATTGGAAAGGCTGTAGAGTACTAACACTTGGTCTGTTTTATGTGACAGTGCTCTTGGATAGCTGGTTTTTGATGTAATGCATTGGGAGTTAAACTTAATATGTTTTCATTTTAAAAAAGGAAAATATACTAACTTCTAAAACCTTTTTTTTCTAATTAAAAAGCAACCTGCATAGAAAGATTATTCTCCATATGTTCTAATAATAAGAAAATGACAGTTTTTAATTTACAGTGAATGACAGGATCCCACATGCCAATCAAGTGATGCAATGTAGTAAGAGAAGCTTGGAGGCTGTAGATTGGTAAAAACTATGGATACAGAAGAAAAAACCTGACTCACGTAAGTAATGTGTATTGATTCTACAGAGTCAGTTACTGTGCAAGGAATAATGCAACATATATACTAAGAGGCACTGTTGTTTTGTTTTTTTTTTTAAGCTCAGATACAGTGTTGTATTCCAAAGCCAGCCTTTAAAAGAAGGACCAACCAGTTCGGCCTCCTTGGTCCAAGATGGTCATGTAGTTATCATTTTTGTCAGGGTGACTAATGCCACCAAATTCCCTTTTCAGTAACCCTCTTTGATCTGCTCTACACTCACTAATGAAAGTATGAAACCACTGTCTTAGAAGTCTTGGCTATAGACTGAATGTATACTAGTGCCAATTGTTTTGTGGTTTCAGAAAACTGCTGGTAAGAAACTACAGGATCAGATTTGTACATTATTTTTTGTAGCTTATTTTCCAGAAATGCATTTTTTTATGATTATTTTGAACATAACTCATAGAAATCAAACCAAACCAAAGACCTTCCTTTTGCTACCATAAGCTCCTGTAGATGCACTCAGAGGCACTGGAGGCAATGACAAGATCAGCAGTAACTTTCAGTGGTTTTAGTCTAGAAGACAGTTGTGACTTTCTTGGGATTTGGTCATACTGATAAAACAAAGAACTTACTAGCTAGTAAACTGTTGTTCCTAATCCTTTCCTATACGTGGCTTTCATTACAGAGGATTAAAGGAGATAAAAGGGGCTGATGTGCCTTCAGGCATTGTTCCACTAATCTAGCTCATGTAGAGCAAGCACTTTAAAGATAACCAACAGCTCAAACTGTATTAGGGAAAACCAGAAAGGAATGGAAATATTCCTCTGTCTTAGGACACACAACTCCTATATTACTTTTGAGCTGAAAAATCTCATTATAATAATTCTAATAGTAAAATATACTTACAGGTAGTTTGCCAAGTTGTGTTCCTGCAGAGTATGTGTTTCAAAGCCATGTGGGGTTGTGTCAAAATAGTCGTTGCCAATTCCACAAATAAAGCATTTGGTCTGGAAACACAATTTGTGTTTACAAATCAATTACAACTCAAAGATTCAATTATAACTGTAAAAATCTAGATTAATAAGACAAATGAAAAAATGTAATGTTCTTCTCATACCTCCATATCTTCTCTCACTTGTTCTTGCTGGTCTCTTAATTCACCAAAAGCATCAATAATAAGACCTATTTCAAATGGATAGGTTGCAACAGTTAAGTACTTAGCAATACTTCTCTTTCAAGTAGTGCAAAAAAAGTAGCTTTGGTAGACATCCTCCTTTCTATTTGAAGTTTGGCATGCTTCTGTACAGGTTGAATAATTCGATTTGAAATTATCAATTTGCAGCCATCTTGTATTCACTTATACTGGACCCAGCAGTGAGAATTTCTCTTACTTCCTCTTAAGGAAAAGCTTCCTTTTGTTGAGTAAAGAAGAATTGGGTTCCACAAGACAGTCACCACCCTCCAAACAGTTTGTGATGCTGCTTCATGTTTCAAGCATTATTCTTTCATTTCCGGTGCATTAAGAATAAAGTTAGGTCATTTGAGGTACTGCAACATTTGTAATATCTAAAAAATACAGACCATTTATATTTTTTCTTTGCCACTAGACTGCCTGAAAAATGTTTGCTTTACATTTTTTCCTTCCAACCGTAGGACAGTTTATAGAATGAGTGTTCAACACTGACAGTCAATCAGTATATGTCTCCTTCTCTGCAAGCCACAATTGCAAACAAATTAGAACTGAAAATCATCCTCTAAAGAAATGAGAAAATGGGTACGTGGTCATGGTGCCTTGTCAGAGAAAAAACCCAAGGCGAATGACTAGCTCCAAACTAATGCAGTGAAAAGAGTCTACAGTAATGCTCTCCAAGTTTAAATGGTATTCTTAGCAGGAAGAGCAATCCTCCACAAACGGTACAATTGCTTGTCATAAATGCTATAATCAAGGTAAGTTATGTTTCTAGTACTTTGTGTAATATTTGGTAGAATGCATTATTTGTAAATTAAGCTTATAATTATAACTTTCAGAATTAGTGACTTTATAAGCTCAGAAATAAGCCTTTGAAGCAATACCGCATAATTACGTCAAACATAAATGCTATTTAAATGCACTCAGAATTTACGTACACTAAATTCTAACTATTTCTGTTAACATAAGTGAAAGTACCTTGAATAATGGCCAGTAGGATAACAATGACAAAGAAGAAAAATGTGATGTCGAAGACAATTCGATAAATTTCATAAGGGTCTCCAGCAGGATCCTCAATTTCATCCCCAATGCCACCACCAGATCTTACACCCACATACATGTGGAATAGGTAACACTAAAAAAAAAAGTGAGAAATTTTATTTATCATGAATTATTTTGCCCTACTAAAAGTTACAGAAACAGAAGATGTAATATCATTCCTCATGTATCGCATGCTGAACCAAAAATCTCTTAACATCTTAACTAGTGTGGCTACATCCTCAAGTAAACTTACAAAGAGGTAGGAGTCAGCATCAAGTATATTACCCTCTTGTCATTCCCTATGTCTTATAGATTAAGATCTCTTTCTTTTCTTTGG